AGCAGTACCATCAGCTGGATCATCCCCTTCCCCCCAAACTTCATGAACTCGTTGACTATCCCATCCGCTCCTGCTGCTTTGTGGCACTTCAGCTTGTTCACACACGCCTCAACCTCGTCCTCAGTGAACTCCTTTTCTAGTTCTACGTTCCCAACGTCTGCCTTCGATGTCTCTTCTTCTTTTTGGGCCCATGTGTCCACCTCCTTCTTAAACGCTTGGTCAAAAGCTTCATTCTCCGAGGGCACTCCAAGTCTCTTGGTTTGATGATGTGGCTGGTGAAAGTATCACCACGCCTGTTCGGCTGCTCGTGACGGCGCAAGCGTGCGCAAAGAGGCGACATTGTAAAGCGAGTGCTGCTTTCGCTAGATTTGCTAGATGGTCGCCGGTTTTTGGTTCTCTTCGTCTCGAGAGATTTCTCGCGCAGGTAGCCACCCCCCCAAAAAAAGAAATCAACTCTTATTTTTGCACGACTTTTCTACGTGATGCTACTCAAGTATTGTATGTCAAGTATCCCGCGTGCGAACAGCGAAACACGATGATGGCAAGGACGACTTACCGCCCGAACGCTCCTTCACTACCGCCGCCCAGGTCATTCGCGCACGCGACCCCCGGAGGCGCTCGGGTTTGGAAGCCGGCGGCGGCACCGAACCAGGGAACCCCCTGGGCAGCGGAGCGGCAACAGCAGCCTGCACGCACCTTGGCGGCGGCAGGAGAGCCCCGTCAGCAAGGAGGATGGGATAGCTCGGCCGCAGCCCCTGGAAGCATCGGGAGGCGTCGGTCTGGCAGGGGCTACGGTGATGATGCGAATACCCCGGCGTCGATGACCAGGCGGATCATGAGTGCTCTGGATGATGCAGGCAGCCCGAGCTCGCTACGTCGGGTAAGATTCAGGCGGAGAAAATCAGTATGCTTTTGTGTGTCGGTGGTTGGGTGCGCGAGCGGCGGCGGCGACGGGGACGGGGGGGGGCGCTGACTGGTCATGATTTCATTCTCTGCGCTTAGCTGGAGCGGGGAAACGAATTACACATTGTTGTTGTTGCTGTTGTGGCGTCTTTTGGTTCCGTTGCCTATTCCCATACCAATAGATGTCTGTTGTTGTTGCCGCCGCCCTCATGGTGACGCTATGCCACCAAGCGGTGTTGGCGCGCGCGTCGTGCGCTGTATTCACTCGATCGGTGGGATCGAAAGGGGTCTCGCATACCGTGCGGCACGTGATCTATGTGGTCACTGGAGCCCGATTGTGGCGGCCCCGTCGTGTCATTTACTCCCCCCCCCGTCGACGAAGACATAGGACGGTAGACGAGGAAGACGACGAGTTCAAATGTGATTGCGGCTTCGAATGCGAAGACCGTGTTCATGTAGTCGCGGAATGTCCGTTGTACAAGAA